CGAAGTGCGGTCCCACATGTACGAGATTGGGTAGCACTGGAAGAGACAAACGAAGAAGAAAGTGCCTCCAGCAATGATCGAAACGCACATGGCACTGTAGATGATCCTGGTATTTTTAGTCAACATTGTCATAAGTCAAGTTCGCTTGGTTGCTTACCATGTGTGCAGTTTTCGAATACTAATCCGCAGGAGAAGGAAACCGATGGAAAGCTTCGAACATATCATAGATATCGAGTAGAACAGATAGCAAAAGTACCACGCATGCTTCGCATTTTGAACACCCTCGATAGGCAGGTCACGATGATGTTTCCCGGTTCCATAGTGTATGCCGATGCAAGACGATGTGGTGTAAGAAATGAAGAAGAGCTGAGGACTTAGTCAGATCGGGACCCAGTTATCGTATTAATATACACTTACAGTTGCGAGAACCATCAAATAGTCATCTCGGCCAAATGCCTTGACCATACAGACGCGAACATATATCCTCAATGCACAAGCCAGGACTGCGGTGGTAACGAAGGCGATGTTGACTGCGAGCAGCTCGGGGCCTCTGTTGGGAATAGCCATTGTGGTGTGGTATATTGACGAAGCAGTGGACACTCATACAGCGAGGAGGAGCCCCAGAATGAGCACACCGTTCGGTCGGTAATGGGGGGGCTCAGGATCTTTTACGCAGCTAGACACTTGACCGAATAAGCAGGGTGGAGACTATAGAAGACACCGCATAATGGGTGCCGCCACGAGTGAAGTGGGTCTGCGGGCGGGCTCCCAGGACTCGTTCCAGGGTCTGGTCCGTTTCAAGGAGCGACCATTACCAACAGGGTCGTTGTCCCGCGGAGCTCGGACACGGGACTATGGATTTGGCGAAGTCGTTCATGCGTTGACAGGGCACACGGGGACGCGTAGAAGCTGACGGCAGTAGTGTTGACTGCCGCAAACGAAATTGTTCATTGAACTCAAATAGGGACATGACGGAGGGGATAGGAGATCAGCGTACACATGTGCAGCAGCTGGGCAGCCTCGCGCACATGGCTGACTTGTACCTCGCACAGGCTGGGACGCCACCATGGCTGGAAGGCAGCTCGCAGTAGCGAAACTCAAAAGCGCGGCTTGGGGAACGGCAGTGGTTGTTCTGACCTGCTTTTGGTGGTGCCTAGATGCGTCCCGCTCGAAGGAGTTTCGCGATGTTCACCGGCCACGTGAAGGCTAGCCGAGAAGGGGATTAGTCACCGAAAATCTCGCAAGGGCTGCGTCTTCCGTGCCTTCCGCTTCCTAGCTAGCTCCGACACCCACTGACAGCCCTGGAGTCAACACTCAACCTCACAGACTCCTCGGAGCTCCTACTTGCTGCCGCTGATCGGCTGCATCATCGCGCAGTATCTCTTTAACCGTTGGTTTCAGCTATTCTACGCTGACTGCCGATTCTCTCGATGAGGAAGTGCTCTGCACCTCTAAAGACGGGAACTTGTAACCGCTAGCCGGGCGGTTCCTGAACCTGCGTGGAGCCCCACTGACAGGTAGGTTTGCGAGAGCGAGAGTCCGCCGACATCGCCAGGCGTTCCACGATGATAGATGTTGTGGCTTTTGGCGTTCAGTTGTATAAGTCAAGACTGTTGCCAGAGTAATCAGGTGCCTCGGCTCCTTCACATTGAGTCTGCAGGGTTTCACGAGTATCTAGTGCGCGGACTGACTCGTTGTCGCGGGCATCGGCAATTGCTGTAGGCACTGGAGGACCTGGATCTAGCTCAGCACTTGCATCATCGCCAGCGCTACTATCGTCCCCTAGATGCAGAGTCCGTCGCACGAACAACCATAGTTCGCGACTGAAACCCGGACTTGGGATCTGATATACAACAACGGCTAGTCGTCCGAACGCCTGTCAATTGCCTGTCCGAGGACTACTGCTTCAATATTTCGACAAACAGGCATCGGGATTGAGTGCCTACGCGGGTAACGCTGGATGGCAGGCCGATGAAGCTCGCAGGCACCATCCCAGCGATCAAAATTCCACATGTGGGCCCCGAATCCACAGAACAATGGCGACATGAGCGTCGCATGCATCAGGGTAGCACAGCACTTCCAAATTCCTGGAAACAACTCCGCAACCGTTTATCTCCCGATGCCACGCCCGTCCGGTCCTGCTCAAAGCCAGTTGGTCTCAGCTCAACGTTCTTCCCGTTTGGTAAGTTCGTCTCAAACTGCCGAGGAACGCTCAACCAGGCCTCCCAACGAAGGTTTAGGCGTCCGGCGGAGCAGACTCCTGGGGAAAAATCCGGCTTCCAAAGTGGCGACCGTGTATTGGAGAGCGGAGAGTAAAACGGTGTTCCCCTGCGAGTGCGACGAAGAACTCTTCATACCCTTGGCCTGTTGAACCCACCGTCGAGCCGCCCCATCGCCGCATTCGTGCAACCCTTGCAGTCGGGAGCAACGATCCTATGGTTGACTGGGTTGAGTGAAAATCTTGAACATTTCTGGACGACGCTCGCAAGGTTCAGTCATGGTAACAAACTTTGGTTAAAATGTGAGTCGGTACCTGCTGGTAACGGACGAACTTGCGGGTTTGGTGTCTAGTTCGCGCTTATGTCCGACGTCCTGGTATCCGTATATGCGATGGCGGCCGTTATGCTTCAAACCAATCTACTCAAGGCAATACGTCAGATATTTGCTAGGAGACTGACAATCGAAGCAGGTAAGTGATGTGCTCCAACATACGTAGTCACGATGTAGGTACAGCGACGCCATTCAACATGCGGACATGTTGGAGGCCGAGCCGCCGTCTAGTCCAAATGCGATTTCTGATGCAGCTGCCACGGCTGCTAAATCGGGAGGCGAATATCACAACCCGAACAAGACACGGCAACCCATCATCAAATGAACTGCCGATCTTGTAAGCTGTACCAGAACGAGATATCCATACACACGCGAACAAATGGTCTACACAAGAAGCATAACATGAATATCATCACCCTCCAATCCAAGTACACCCACTCCGAAGGGTATCGGGCTACACTGTTGGATTGCTGTTACGGCCGAACTGGAGTGAGATATCCCCTTCTTTCCGGGCAGGCCATTGACATGTGCCCAGCAAGAACACAACTTTGCTTTTGCAGCACATCTTCACTTTCTTATCTCCAGATAGCACAACACACAAGCATCCGCTTCTTGGAGTAGTAAGTCCATGCGACAACCTCCATGATTGCTTCTTCGCATCCTCCGCCCTCCTTTTCCCAAGATAAGCAATTTGCTTTTTTCTTATGCATGCATGCGAATGCATATCACGCATATGTACATAGCATGCGCCAATGCGGCACAGTCTCGGGCGCATCAAGGGCACGACGCGCCCGCCCACTCATCCAACACGAAGGCCCCCCGGAAAATCCTAGCGGCTACGTCCCGCAGCCGCCCCAATCACGACGGCCAGAATATTCCCCGCATTGCACCGCCGAAGGAATGCCGTGTGGGTGACAGCGGCTGTGGCGTAGCTTGTTTCGATTCGTAGATGCAGTGGATGGTAGATTAGCCAACCGCTGGAGGACGGCTGTGCCACTGGTAGTATGTTTCGCGCGGGGTGGAGACATTGCGGCGTGGTTGAGAGGTCTTGTATATGAGGAGGTGAGTGCGAGGTAGGGCGCACGCTGTGTGCGATTTACCATATCACAGACATCTTCGGACCGAGTGTTACTCAACAACACAAACAAACGGACTGCGAAACCGGCTTACAGCGACACGTCAACTTGCGACCACACGCGCATCAACACAGCACAACATGAAGACCGCCCTCTCAATCGCAGGCCTCATCGCCTTTACTACCGCCTCCCCACTACCCTCGCCAAAACACTCAGAAGCCCTACCCCTCGTTACTCTCTCCCTCATCGGCTCACCCTCACACTACACACTCGGCTCATCCCAAAATCCACAAGTATCCACATCAACATCCAACAACGCATGGTCGATACATATACCCATCGATGTCTCCCTCGATCTCAGCACACGGCCAGAACACGTCCAGGCCATCGAGATACTTGGGGTAGAGAAGGGCACGGATCTGCAGGGAGGGGCAGTAGAGAGGGATGATGCGGAGGTGGTGTGTAAAGCGAGGTTGGGGTGGGGGAGTGAAGGGGTGGTTGTGAGGATGGGTGGGGAGAGGGTTTTGGTTGATGGGGGGAAGGTGGGGAGGGTTACTGGGGTGGGATGTTGGAAGGAGAGGGTGTAGGTCGTGTATATGTGGAAGATGGGGTTTGTAAGAGCGGGAGGAGGAGGTGGTTAGTTTGCATTATCTCCATTGCGTTGGCGTTCGATGTTCACATCCGCCTTGGAGCGTATACGTTGCTTCCGCTTCGTCTTCTACAGGCAGCCTTCTAGCCTAATAATATAATCCCAATCAAATGTCTTGCTGACCTACCTCACACGTACATTCATCATCACACTCTCCATTCCCTACGCCCTATAACCCCGCATCAGCTTCTCCACAATACCAACTCCCATCTGCTCCTCCTCACTCGGCGCATCATCACCCTTCTCCTCCTTCCCAGAAACAAACCCCTCCTTCCGCATAATCCCCTCCATCATCCTAATCCCCCTCAACTCCTGCAGTGGCGGAATATTCTCCACGCCCTCGGGATCTATCACATCAAAGTCCACACCATGGGTAGGCTTAACCGCGTCTTCAATCTCATACAACTTATCCGGTGTAACAACAAAATCACACTGTACCTCTCCCTTCCTCGTCGGAGATACTGTTACCTTGTCCACGCCTAGCGCCGCCTCATCAACGACCTGACAGTCATGCGCAAGCGCCACAACAGGTGTCCGCGTGTGTAAAACACCCAGGTCCGATAACATCGCCCATTGTATCTCGAATAAATTATGCCCTTCCCAGATCGTCACGCCCTGCGCGTTGAACACCAGACCCCCCGTGACGCATAGGTCTATCCGGAGCCCTTCATCGCGCATCTGCGCCAGCGACACCGACCGCCCTATCCCAGGCTTCTCCATGCCGTCTAGACAAGCAGCCATTTCGTATTTGGTCTCCGCTATCCGGCCGGGATGCAGCAACACAAATCCCCTGCGCAGTCTGTACGTAGCGACGAGCACCTTTTTCCCGTCTTTCAGCGCCCGGTATCGTAGGTGCTCGAGGCTGTTGTCGGGGGTTATGAGGATTACGGTGGCGGACTTGTAGCAGGAGAGAGACGTGAGGCGGTCGACTGCGGAGGAGGAGTTGCGGAAGTCGGGGGTGAAGGACATGTAGTCGTGGTTGAAGCGCGCGTCGGGGTGGGCGTGTTGAAGGAGGGTGCGGTAGACGGATGCCCAGATGAGCTTGCGGGTGGCGTCGTCATCGGCGCCGGGGGAATGAGGGAAGGTCATTGGGAGAAGGAAGCGAGTGACGGGTGGCTGGAAGCCTGGGTGGATGGGATGCTGTGGGAGCGAGAGGCGGCGTGGTGGACTGTATGTATGCGCCGTGCCACGCCGCGGTCAATGGCGGGGATGATGCCTTTGTTCAAGCCCTGGAGCTGACTAACCGGGCAGCCTCATTGCCCGTCGTCTGCCATTCTTCACCCTCAAACTTCTGGGAAGATAGACAACCGACTCGCCGTCATCACTACCTCGCGATGCATGATTGTCGCTTGAAGATGATGATGGCAGGATCCCGGCTTCACCCGCCCGCGCGTCATTGGGGTAGACTTCCCGCGTCGGCATGCGCTAAATCGGCTACATGATTAGGCCCGTCATATTACCGAAGAGTCACATATCTCCAGGCCAAGACGCATGCATGGAAGACTTGAGTATTGTGACTCGTTATCTAGGGACACATTAAGCAGCAGCTTCGATGGACAAACATGACGAAATCGAGATGCGGACAGCGGCGACACCATCAAGCCGGTCGTCCATGGAAGGCAACAAAGAAACGATACCAGAAGAGTGCATTACAGAAGCGACGAATATGGATTCAATTAACACGGGACCACCACTTCTCGATTTCCCAAAGGCTAGTGAGCCCCTCGAAGCTGAAAAATCAGAAACAAGAGAAGGGAACAAGTCACCAGCCAAGAAGAACCCACCTAAACGCGCAAAAGCCCTCTCAGTCCTAAAATGGTTCATCAAAGACCAATGGTTCCTCCTCGCCATGGGCCTCGTCGTCCTCCTCTCCTCCCAAGTCCAAGTCCCCGCCCGCCAGCAACGCACAAAACGAACCGTAATCACCTACCTCGCCGTATCCGTCATCTTCTTCATCAACGGCTGCACACTAGACACGCGGGTCATGCTCGCCAACTACATGCGCTGGAAACTGCACATCTTCGTGCAACTCCAATGCTACCTCGTCTGTTCCGCAGCCACCTTCGCCATCGTGAGCCTATGTGCCCGGAACCGCGATTTCATGGATCCGTGGCTCTTGATCGGGTTTCTCTTCGTTGGGAGTGCCCCGACGACGATGTCTAGTAATGTTGTCATGACGCGGCAAGCCCACGGCAACGCAGCCCTCACAGTCGTGCAATCTGTAATCGGCCAGTTCCTCTGTCCCTTCCTCACACCGATAATCCTGCAAATGTACCTCTCGACTGGATCCTGGTATAGCAAAGTCCTGCAACGCGGGTCTGGCTACGCGGGCATCTACCAGCGCGTCTTCATGCAACTCGGCCTCTCCCTCTTCCTGCCCATGCTGCTCGGGCAAATCGTCCAACGCCTCTTCCCCGCGCCCACAAACAAAGTCTTCTTCGAGTGGAAGTTGCTCAAACTCTCCTCCATCGCCCTCCTAACAATGGTATGGCAAACTTTCGACCAAGCCTTCTCCTCCGGCGCCTTCTCGGCCGTCAAACCCTCCAATATCATTTTCATCGTCTTCATCACCATTGCGCTCTACTTCATCTGGCTGGCCCTCTGCTTTGTAGCGGCTACTATGTGGCTCCCGAAGAAAGACGTGATTGCTTGTTGCTATTGCTGTCCGGCTAAGGCGCTGGCGATGGTGGTCCCGCTCACGAGCGTTATGTATATTAATATTGATCCCGTGGATCAGAGTAAGATGCAGATTCCGGCGATTATTTTTCAGGCGTTTCAGGTGGCGATTGGGGGCATTATGACGATTGGGTTTCGGAGGTGGGTTCGGGGGGAGGAGGAGAGGGAGAGGGAGGAGGCGGAGAAGGGTGGGGTGGGTGGGGAGGGGAGATGATGTTAAGAAGGCGAATGCTGTTGATGCTTTTGACGGACAAAGGTATCTATACTATGCGCGAGCATTCTCCTCTTCCCTTTTCCGCTCAGCGATCACTCCCGCTTCTCGTGCTTGTAAAACAGTTCCGCCATGTTGTATATAGTAATCCTCAACGCCGATAATGCACAAGACCCCCAACCCCAACCCCACCAACCCCCCTCCTACTCAAGTAATGCAGCAGCATCCATTCGGAATCTAACATCATCAGCCCTTAACCCCATCCTCATCGTCATTCTCCAATTGTTAATACATACGCATTTGCATATCCCAAGAAAGCCATCGCAAGGACACTCGATACAAGAAACCGCTGCGGTAGTTCCATCTGCGTTCCTGACTTCCTTGACGGATCGATTGAGACTGACCTGTTTTGGTGGTTAGGCGTGGGAGGTGGGAGATGGGAGGAGAGGTTGGAAGGACGTACTGCAGCGGGCGACGCAAGCACCACGGATGCGGCGACGACAGCAATTATGGCTGAGAGTTTCATGATGCCAAACGAGTAATTGACCAAGGAAGTTCAAACGCGACGAGAGAGTCCAAAGGATAGGTATTTGATCGACACAGACACAGCACCAAAAAGTAAGTAACACAACAAAATGCAGCCCAGATCGACAGAAGACAGACCAGTCTGTTCTTAACCAGCAATTCCTTCTGCCCATCAATCTACTAGTCACGGCATCTGTCAAGCGAAGCAAGCGTTGCTAGCTCGGCTCCAAACTTTGGTGCCCTGGTCGGAGTTCATCAATTTAGATATGAAGTACGACATGGCACTCCGGTTCCCCGCGTGCGCGCCCTCGTGGCAGAAGTCAGGCACGACATATTTCTGCGGGGCGGGGGTAATCTATGTGCGCGTTGCTGGCGGTGGAGCTTGGTGATGGTCTCGCGTAACAGGCGCACCTGGAGTTTGGGTGTGGATGTGTCCGGAACATCGGAGGTTACTTTACTGTACCGTAGGCACATGCCACGAGCTCCGCGACCGTGACTGTCCAATATGCACCTGAGCTCTGTTTACCATTTACCCGGGATCTAGAGATTTCCACGGCAGGAACGGAACATTTCGACAATCTCGACAAAAAAAAACCATATGCGATGCAATATACTCATGCCACCTTCCGCTCCTTTCTTATTGGTCAACTATAAGATATCCTTTCGTTAACGAAGAATAATATATGCAGGGCGGGCGAAGAAGTCTAGATCGAGCGACTCTCCCCGTGGGAGTCCACGTGTTGTGTATCTCGCCTAGTGCATGTGCCGACAGAGAAGGATCGTGGGAAAAAAGGAGTGCGCATGCGCCGGAGGCCCCTTTTGTGTTGTTTTGCGGCGCCCGCACGGTATTGCACATATGGGATGCTGTGGCACGGTGCGGCGGACCCGGAGACCTGTGTTCGCGAACGTGAAGGACGATTTTACGCACGTCATCTTGCGATGCTGCAAACTTTGGGCATGCCATGTCTTGCGCATATCTCGTCGCTGTTATCGCAGATTCTAGACTTTCGAGCATCTACATTTACCGCAGCCCGGAGCTAGCATTGAGTACATATACGAGGATGCAGTCGCCCTTTGAGCTTCTGCCAGAAAGACTACTGCAGGCGCAGTGTGTTCGCCGACAGAGTTTGGAGCTAGCGGTGTCAAGACGGAGTGACAGCGACGCGTCGGGTCTTGGATCGCGTGGGTGCTCTGGCTTGGTGCGACCTTGGAAAGTGTGTATAGGTGCGCTGGGTTATTGCGAAGGGAAGGGAAATGGGAATTTTGGAAGGGGATGGCTGGCTTGGTTGAGGTAACTTGCGGGTAAAGCGGCGCATACACGAGGTTCTTGCTGATGAGGTTGCGGATCTAGATGCACGCAGGCAGGTGGGATGCAGAAGCCGAGTATGAGATCACGTGAGGAAGATGTCTTCCAGCTTCCAAATTCCACGCTCCAGCTCACACAACACCGCGACCACGCAATCCGCCATAAGAAGTACATTGACCTTTAGCACCTCCGCCCATAACCTACGTACCCCTTCCCTCTTCGACTACGACCGCCATCTCTAACCTTTTGCGCCTCTTCTATCCACCGTTTACTCGCACCAACCCGTGGCCTAGGTCTCTGTTTGTACCCTCCCTTGTGCCACGTCCCATCACCCTCATACTCAAACTCAATCCCCAAACCCCTTTTCTCAGGGTTATCGAACCTATCCAGCCAGCGATTCAACTGCGCATGACTATCCTTCGCACCAGCGGTATACGACAGAATAATACGTATCTTGCGCATCGGCACCGCATGACTGTCGTATGCCCCCGCGACCTCAAGTCCATCGTTGCTCAGCTTCTTCAGCTGGGCCTGCGACAGCCGGTTTAGGAACGTGACGACGGGTGCAAAGTTGTGGTTGCGCACTGTGGTTGTTATGACGGGTGCGTGGAAGAGGACGGCGTCGATGTACTCGTCGCAGATCTGTCTGTTTACTCCGGCGAGGCCGCAGCGTGTGACGATGTTAAGGGCCCCGGGTTTGAGCGTTGATGTGTTGTCTGATTCTAGGACGTGCTTGTAAATTTCATCTCGCAGCTCTCGTGGGAGGGCGAGGAAGGGCGGTAAGGTGTCATAGGTTGGACGTGGTTGTATGGGTGTGATGTCTGATGTAGTTGTTTTACGCGCTCGTTTCTTCGCCGCTGGTGCATGGTTGGTGGTGGGAACCGGGTTAGCGGCTTGCTCGTCCAGTTTGCGCTTTGAACGTCTGAGCTCTGGGGATGCTGTTGTAGCCATTGTTTGGTTCTATATGGGATCATATCAAGTTCTACATGTGTGGTGCTGGTAACCATATACTCATACTGTGCCAAGGCGGGCGTGGTGATCATCCAGGCAGCAGCAGGCAGCGACGAGGCGGTTGAGTGCGATGAGAGTCGGCCCGACTGCAACCAATTCCTTCCAACACCAGCGGCCACCGACTGCTTTCATCCGAAACACATCCAGTATCTCGTGTTATCATCGCTCTTATCGCAAGAAATAAAAGGGTATAGGTATCGCATTCATTGCGAAAGCTGTGATGGCTTGCTGCAGGCTGCCCGCCAGTTGCTACTCTCATCTCATCCTAGGCTCCCCTCACCGGCACTTCCTATGCGCCATCGCAGTACCAAGGCAGGATACCCTCATCGTGCCATGCTTTGTTTTTCGTCGACTCTATCTTCGAATTCGATTAGTGAGCGAAGAGCGCAATTCTCAGCCTCAACATCGTCGCACCGGCGCCCGCCTTCAATCACTCGGAAGTTGTTTGCCCGCGCTCGCGAATGAGGAATGTTGCCACGGCTGAGGACGGTCGCAAGCTAAAGGATGCGGCAGGTTTCATGCAGGCTTTCAGCTACTGGCCAGAGTTCTAGGTCTATGTGCTTCAGCTGTAATTTAAGCCGTTGCTGACAAGCCAGCATGTGCAACGTCGGCGGTGTCTGAGTTTCCCCGTCCCAATAAGCATCTTACGCCGCTTATCTTTGTGCAACCTCACTCACTTCTCGGCCAACCGATAGCAGCCATCTCAGCCTCAAGCCATCTGTTACACTTCCCTTCTGCAGCTTTACGTTCTGACATTTGTCCATCACACCACCTTCTTGAGGAGTCTCACTGTAAACTAGTCTGAGGTTTCCATCAGATGATGACGGCAATCATCAGCAATGCAACTGCCTTACCATAGCAAACCGCTGTAACGTTCGGTAACCGACCAGTAGGATTTGAGACGATGCACATGCCAGAGCCACGCCGATGGCTGAGCTCTGTCTCATGCGGTGATCAAGAGCGGGACCGATGTACTCAGACGATATGTCGCGACCGCTATTTTTGGTTTCCAACAACTGCACTTACTGCGGTATCTGGCTGGCGTTAGCGAGTCGAGGCGTGCAGTTTGTCAAACACCGCTCTGTCCTTCGCCGATGTGCGCAAGGCTGTTCCTTAAGCCCTCGTGGTCATCGAGATAAAGGTCTCTCAATGGCGCCGCTTACGGCTGCATCCGTCTCCAAACTACTCTCCTTGCGTTTTCGTTCAACATGCTGTATTTCACGCTCTTGCAGCTAATTCTGGTTTCCGTTGTCTCTTGCTTGAGATTCGACAAAGCATTTGTTGGGTACAATCTTAATGAGAACGAAGCAGCTATAGACCCCCTCGACTACTCAGGCGAATGGAAAGACCACACATTCCACCCATCACCAAAGAATTGGCGATTCCCATTCTACACCCTGTTTCTGGATCGATTTGTCAACGGCGACCCAACGAATGATGATATCAACGGGACGGTGTACGAAAAGGACTCGCAGAGTAATCAGTTGAGACATGGAGGTGATTTGGTGGGGTTGGTAGATAGCTTGGACTATATTCAAGGACTGGGTATCAAGGTAAGCAGCTCTACTGCTTCATGAACTTCGAGCTGAGACGTATAGGGCATCTACATCGCCGGCTCGCCCTTCATCAACAATCCATGGAAGGCAGACTCCTACTCGCCGCTAGACTTGACGCTTCTCGACAAGCATTACGGAGATATCGCAGCATGGCGAGCAGCTGTCGACGCCATCCACAAGCGGGGGATGTATGTGATACTGGATCACACAATGTCGACGTACGTAACACAAGTGACACTTGATCATCCTAGCTAATCGCGTGTGTAGCATGGGTGACCTTCTTGGCTTCGAGGGTTTCCTCAACGAGACAGCACCTTTTCGTCCAGAAGAACACAAAGTGCAGTGGAAGTCGAACCGCCAGTATCTAGACTTCTCGTTCGGGAACACTTACAACAACACATGCGCATACCCGAACTTCTGGAACGAGTCAGGGCAACCGGTATTGAAGGATTCGGATAAGACCTTTAGCAGGCTTGTCGGGTGCTATGACAGCGAGTTTGATCAGGTATGTTACACAAGTCAACAGCGAGAAGCAAAGTAGCTCTACTAACGACCCATCTCTCGTAGTATGGCGACACCGAAGCGTTCGGTGTATTCCCCGACTGGCAGCGCCAGCTATCCAAGTTCGCATCCGTCCAAGACCGTTTACGAGAATGGGTACCTTCAGTCCGAGAAAAGATCGAACACTTTTCGTGCATCACAATAGCGATGCTGGATATCGATGGCTTCCGATTCGACAAAGCTACACAAGTCACGGTCGAAGCTCAAGCTGAGTTTGGCGACTTCGTCCGACAATGCGCACGGAAGTATGGGAAGAACAACTTCTTCATGCCCGGCGAGATCACAGGAGGTAACAATTTTGCGTCCATCTACCTTGGGCGCGGAAGGCAACCTGATCAGGTTCCGGACAACATCACGCAAGCCGTTACGCTGACGAACAACTCGGATGACAAGTATTTCCTGCGAGCACATGGCAAACAAGCCTTGGATGGTGCTGCGTTTCATTACAGCACATATCGATCGCTTACCCGCTTTCTTGGATTAGACGGTAATCTAGAAGCGGGTTACGATGTTCCCGTCAACTTCGTCAATGCTTGGAACACACTGCTCACCACTAATGACTTCGTCAATGCCGAGAGTGGTGAATTTGATCCGCGACACATGTATGGAGTCACGAATCAGGTACACTCTCTTCTAGGTTTCTGAAGCCTATCCATCAGCCGCGCTAACAACATCAGGATGTCTTCCGTTGGCCCGCCATCAAACAAGGCACCGAGAGAATGCTGCTCGGCCTTTTCGTCACAACAATTCACATGCCAGGTATTCCAAAACTTCTCTGGGGCGAAGAACAGGCTTTCTACATCCTTGACAGCACTGCTGCGAACTATATCTTCGGTCGACAGCCGATCTCTTCAGCACAGGGGTGGCAAAATCACGGTTGCTACCGCCTCGGCAGCTCGCAATACTATGACATGCCACTTGAAGCAGTGCTTGATGGTTGCAACGACGACACCGTTAGCCAAGATCATCGAGACCCTTCGCATCCTGTTCATAACATCATTAAGAACATGTATCACCGCCGTACCCAGTATCCGGTCCTCAACGACGGTTACTTTCTACAATCGCTCTCCAATCAGACTCGCTTGGTGCAACTGCCGGGCTCGAACGGAACGAAATCGGAGTTCGGGATGTGGAGCGTCATGAGGAATCAGTATCTGGACGTACAAAACCTGACCGAAGGGACTGAATCATCGCAAATCTGGCTTGTCTACTCCAACGAGGATCGCGATGTCAACTACAAGTTTGACTGCAAAGACAAGGATAAGGCATTCATATCCGCGTTTGACGCTGGAACGACAGTCAAAAACCTGTTCGCTCCGTACGATGAGATCAAACTCGGGAACAGCTCCACCGCCTTGGGCATCGACGGCTCAGAGGAATTCAATGGTTGCGTCGACGGTCTCGATATGAAGGCGTATGACTTCCGGGCGTATGTGCCAAAGGCCAGCTGGCTAGATCCTATCCCCGTCATCACGAAGTTCTCGCCAGGCCATGATGCCCAAATCGAGTCGACGAAAGGGGCGGGAGACAGGGATTCACTTGACATTGAGTTGCAATTCTCCGAAGCGATGGATTGCGATGGGATTACCAAGGACCTCGTCATTACATCTGATACCGAGAATGACTTCTCTGCAACAGTTGACGACGACACTGTCGACTGTGCTGATATCTCGTCGCTAGTATCGAATCTTGTCGGTGGCTCCACGTCTAAATGGAGCTGGAAAGCGACTCTGAAGGATGTGGCTCATGGAATTCACACTGTCACCGTCAAGAACGCCACTACCAAGGATGGAGAGCGCTTCACGAACGCCAACGATCGCTTCATGATCCGGATCGGAGCTAAGAACAACCCCATGGTCTTCCCTCGTATCGCAAACTACACTACCGGCACACTCAAGAAGGACTCCAAGGTCTTGCATGTGTCGCACGTCGCCTCAGGCGCTAACAAATGGCGATACTCGACTAACTGGGGATCAACCTGGAGCCAGTGGGAAGACTATAAAGGCGGCAACAGCGACCTTCAGACGCAACCCTGGTCCGGTACCAAACGTCAAAGATGGGAGGGCGAGCACGTCATTCTTCAATACTGGAACCGCGTGACTGGAAGTAGCGATCACATCCAGCACACCGACACGAACTACAAGGGCCAACCAAGACGCTTTCCCCATCTCTTTGCTCACGGGCCGTACAACCAATTTGGATTCGATGCTGGTATCGATAGCTCATTCGACCTCGGCAAAGACGGGAAATGGAAACTACACATCATGACCGAATGGCCTTCGGTAGCCCAAGTCAATGTCTGGGGCATGAATCCTGGCGGTAAACCCGACGCGGGTTTCGTCTTCGGCGATGTTGACAACGACGGCGTTCTGGACAGACTTCCTCCAGACTCTCTCGCAAAGAACGTGCTCAACATGTCTGTCCTGCCACCTCGACCGTACCTAGCGTATCGCGTTGAGATCGATGATGCTACCCTGGCATACAAGCTTGTCTACACAGGTAATCGCTTCATACAACTAATCATGTTCGCTCTTCTCTGGTCTCTACCAGTCTTGACAGCTGCAATCAGTATCTGGATCTACAAGGGTGCCTTCTATGGTGTCAAGTTCAACCAGACGGGTGTGAGTGCGCAGGGTCTCGCTTTCTTCGCATCTTTGGCCTTTTGGCGTCGTGGTCACAAATTCGAAAGTATCCAGTCTGATGATGTCGTCGAGTTGAAAAGGTCTACTCCGCGTCTTGGCTTCACAAGGTCACGAGACTCGTCTCCCATGCCCGCTGCGGCTATCGGTAAGTTTGGCGCCAGTAAGAAGAGGCCAATGATTCTTATCGCTACCATGGAATACGATATCGAGGACTGGGCGATTAAGATCAAGATCGGTGGACTGGGCGTAATGGCACAGCTCATGGGAAAGAACTTGCCTCATCAAGATTTGATCTGGGTCGTTCCTTGCGTCGGTGGAGTCGACTATCCTATCGATGAACCGGCGGAGCCCATGACGGTGACCATTCTCGACACTGAGTACGAGATACAGGTCCAGTATCACAAGCTCAACAACATCACGTACGTGTTGTTGGATGCGCCGATCTTTCGACAACAATCCAAAACCGAGCCCTACCCACCCCGTATGGATGACCTGGACTCGGCTGTATACTACAGCGCCTGGAACGCCTGTATCGCTCTGACCATTGAGAGATTTCCCATCGATCTGTACCACATCAACGACTACCATGGCGCCGCTGCACCGTTGTACTTGCTCTCTAAAGGCAAGACGATTCCGTGCGCACTGTCACTACACAACGCAGAGTTCCAAGGATTATGGCCCATGCGCACACCAAAAGAACGCGACGAAGTCTGCCGCGTATACAATCTCGAGCCCTCCGTAGTCGAAAAGTACGTTCAATTCGGCGAAGTCTTCAACCTTTTGCACGCCGGTGCAAGCTACCTTCGCATCCACCAACGTGGTTTTGGCGCCGTCGGTGTCTCAAACAAGTATGGCAAACGTTCCTACGCTCGCTACCCTATCTTCTGGGGTCTGAAGGAAGTTGGCAGACTACCGAATCCTGATCCGAGTGACACCGCTCCTTGGGAACCGGAGAAGGAGAACGAGAATATCGTTGTTGATCCGGCGTACGAGGCTAGTCGTGGGGATTTGAGGATACAGGCTCAGCAGTGGGCTGGTCTGGATGAGGACCCTAATGCTGAGCTTTTTGTGTTTGTTGGTCGGTGGAGTAACCAGAAGGGTGTCGACCTTATCGCCGATGTCTTCCCCGCTGTTCTTGAGAAGCACTCGAACGTGCAGCTCATCTGTATAGGTCCCGTCATCGACCTCTACGGAAAGTTCGCAGCTCTCAAGCTCGGGAAGATGATGGAGAAATACCCAAGGCGCGTGTTCTCCAAGCCCGAGTTCACCGCACTTCCGCCCTTCATCTTTACAGGAGCTGAGTTTGCCCTGATCCCTTCCCGCGATGAGCCCTTCGGTCTCGTCGCTGTCGAGTTTGGTAGGAAAGGAGCGCTTGGTGTGGGTGCTCGCGTCGGTGGTCTTGGACAGATGCCTGGATGGTGGTTTACGGTCGAATCGACAACCACCAAACACATGCTGCACCAGTTCAAGTCAGCCATCGAAGACGCCCTGGAGTCCAAGACCGAGACAAGGGCGATCATGAGAGCGAGATCCGCAAAACAACGCTTTCCGGTCGCAAAGTGGGTGGAGGATCTCAACACCCTCCAGCAGACTGCCATCAAGATCCACAACGAGAAGAAAGACTCGGCATCCAAGGGTATCTTCCGTCCACGATCACGGGCTGCGGCTTCGCAGACCTCGCTGCAGTTCCCTGATGAAAGCTTCTTTCCTCCTCAGTCTCGCGCTGTCAGTACAGACAGGCTATCGAATTACGAGGAAACGCCTGTTGAGAACGATACCGAAGTGAATGACCCTGACAACTACTCCACAACACTTCGCCGTGGTCTCTCGCTCGGTGTACGCTCTGGACCTGGACACGAAACAAGGATGCATCCCTCTGGTGATGCAGTCACACAGGTTCACAAGCGGCGCTCGCCGTCCAGAACACCAGACATCCATGAGTATGACCCAGAAGGCGCGATAACGTCGAGCCAGGGGTCTCTGCACGACCAGGAAATGTTCATCAGCCGCGAGCAAGCAGAAGCTGACTACCGTGAGTCTGAGCGCCGGCTCGCCGTAGCAGCTCTCGAAGGCAACACTGCCGGTGCGTACGGACTAGATTCGCCGCCTATCGACACGAGTTATCGGGGACGTGGCAGATCCCGCAGCCCGCTTGCAGACGACGAGACCGACGACATGCTGATAAGATCGCCACCCACAAGTGGCCTCCTTGACCCAAGTAGCCTCCCAATGCGCGTGCGATCATCGCATCACCGACGCAACCGATCTTCTGCTCTCGACCTAAGCACCATCAAGAACGCCAGCACAACCGATTTCAGCCTACAGAAAGTCGATCCAACATTCGAAGACAAGACCGGCGTATACTACACCAAATTCGAATCCATGCTCAACACCCTCAGCGGCAAGACCTCCGAAAACGACCTCTGCGTCGAGCAATTCCTCGTCGACAGCGAAAAAGAATGGTTCAAGCGGATGCGCGCAGAGAGACTGGGTCGCGGCGATCGCGCGCGTTCTCAAGACAGCCGAGCGGGTCTGGGTATCAGTCCGCGTCCGGCGTGGCCCCGGGAGAGTCTGCACAGTAACGGCAGTCGGAGTTCGAGTTACTCGCACTACCAGTCGCAGTCTATGCAGGAAAGCGAGAACGACAGCGAAGAAGCTTCTCCTCGGCCCTCGGGTGAGGTGGACGAATTCCTTCTCGGTGCGAACTATCAGCGCCCGTCGCTGCTGAAGCGCTGGCTGCAGACGCGAATCGGCGATTGGCCAATTTACTCTATTCTTCTCGCGCTCGGGCAGATCATGGCGGCGAACTCGTATCAGATTACTCTTCTGACTGGGCCTCAGGGCCAGGGTCCGGAGAAACTGTATATTGTTGGTGCGATCTTCATCGTTATGTCGTGTGTCTGGTGGGTTATGTTTCGCACGCTGCCATCGAAGTTCGTTCTCTCTGCGCCCTTCGCAGTATATGGTGCTGCTTTCCTGTTCGTGGGTGTTGCGCCGTTCGCGGAGTTTGGGGTCGCGAGGGACTGGGTGCAGAATGTTGCTACGGGGCTGTATGTTTCTGCTTCGGCTAGTGGCTCGATATTCTTTGCGTTGAACTTTGGCGATGAAGGTAAGCTCGCTCTCCTCTTCCCGATTTGTTTAGTCCGTACTGACGTATCTAGGTGGCGCGCCTATCAAATCATGGATCTTCCGCGCTTGTATGATCCAGGGAACCCAGCAACTATACATCACAGCACTCTTCTACTGGGGAAGCACGCTCGCAAATTCGGACGCGAGCAATGCGCTTACCTCTTCGCCCAAGGCCGCGATGATCACGCTTCCAATAGCCGGTCTGATGTTCACCATCGGAGCTCTCCTCATCACGTCTCTACCATCATACTACCATCAGTCTCCAGGCAAAATCCCCTCGTTCTACAAAACACTTCTCCGACGAAAGCTCGTAGGCTGGTTCTTCGTCATGATCATCCTACAGAACTACTTCCTGAGCACACCCTACGGACGCAGCTGGGCGTACCTCTGGTCTTCCCACGCAGCACCACAGTGGGCGATCGGCCTGCTCGTCCTGGCCTTCTTCGTTGTAATCTGGGCAGCCTTCCTCTTCCTCTTCGCCAAGCTAAGCGGTAGCCACTCCTGGTTCCTCCCCATCTTCGCCATCGGCCTCGGCGCACCCCGCTGGGCCCAAATGCTCTGGGGCGTCTCCGGCATCGGCAACTGGGTCCCCTGGATGCCGGGCGGTCCCGTTGCCGGTGCGCTCGCCGGTCGCAGTCTGTGGCTCTGGCTTGGGCTTCTCGACGCGATTCAGGGCGTTGGGTTTGGTATGATGCTTCTGCAGACTCTCACTCGGATTCACATCGCGGTGTCTCTGGTTCTAGCGCAGATTCTGGGTACGGTCGTTACGATGCTGGCGAAGGCGACGGCGCCCAATGCGAATGGGCCTGGAGATGTGTTTCCGGATTTCTCGGCGGGAGTGGTGAAGGGGTTGGGGAAGCCGTGGTTCTGGATTGGGTTGGCGGCGCAGTTGGTGGTTCCGTTGGGGTTTTTTAAGTTTTTTAGGAAGGAGCAGTTGAGTAAGCCGTAGGTGTGTTAGTGTAGTAATGTACTCCTGTTTGTCATTTAGTCGTCAGGAGGAGGGTTCGTCGGGCCAGTGTGACCTTGCGTGTGGGAACTTGCGATCTACCGAGGGGATACTTTCACGAGCGCGCATCGGCAGATCTACGTTAGCATCAGGATCTGAGGATTGAGTCGGCGTTTCTAAGGATCCGAGCATGTGCCTAGGCTCCGAACATAGAAAGTCTGGTGCCTCAGCTACGTAGTACGCAGGGCACGAAGCAGGATACGGAGCAATCTGGTGCTTCGGCATCCAGCTCTCGAGCGCGTGCAGCACTGCCAAGTATTGTTCGAAGCCATAGTACTCGTGTGTACCCCATGACCTTGGTCTACAGTGTATAATGCGTGTGCGCACGTCTCATGCTTTCGAAGCAAGGCGTTGGTGGCTGGGAGCATCGATATGTTCGTCGTCGGTTTGGTCGTGGCTAGGTGCAGGTATGCGCGTTGCACTTTCGATACATCAGGAAGGAGCGATTGAGGTTCGTAGTGTGCGTCTCAATTAATGAGATCGAACAATTGGGGCTACGCTGCAGTACTACATGGCTACTGCAATGCGGTGGTGGGGTTGTATCGACTGCTGGGTCGGCGGGATGTTACAGCGGGACACGCGACGGGCACGCGAGGCAGGGCTTCTGGCGGCTTGGCATTGGCAGGAGTCACGTGTAGATGTATCCGCACATAACCTTCCAAGGTTTGGTGCTGACGTGAACACCTTAATGTTGACTTTCCCCAAAATCAAAGGTTGTATATTATTGGGGTAGTAATTTGACATTGAGTTCGCTGCCTGACATATTCGACGCGACTTCTTCGGTAGACGGGTACCCTGGCGGGTACCGAAAAGCATGCAGTCCTGCGGCGACGAGCGACCCTTCAGCAGCAACAAGCTTCATGACTGATGTGTACCCACGCGAGAATGCCGCCAGATTGCGTTCGAGACATTGTCTTCTGCGCAGCTTCCAAAGTCCCGATCGTATCCACGGGCCTGGACTCCCGTGAAAAACGGGAAGCCGGCTGAGCCGAAGCGGTACCCTCGTTTCATCCTCGACATAGCTTCTCGACTTTCAGCTAGACTGTGGCAATGCGGCGAGTGCAACGACCTCGTATCTCGAGATCTGTTCGTATGGACGTGTAGCAGGAACCAGGCCTGTTACTTCCTTTTTCGGGCGCGAAGGTTCCAAAATGACGTAAGTACGCATCGGTGCTAGTAAGCGCTACTCAAGCAGTCAATACTCTACCCAACCTCTCCTTTTTGTCATAAGGGCATCTCAATCGCGACCAAACCGACTGTGTTCGCCTCTTCGCCATGACGCTTCGACGCATCATCGTTGCTCCCGCTGCCAAATCTGAAACCGGCGCCTCGGCCTACAAGAAGAACTCGTTATTTATGGAGATGCAGCGTCTGTGCGGACTTTGGGGCCCACGCCAAACTCAATGAACACGAGTTCCTACCCTAGATGCATGCTAATAGCGCAGGTACCGGCGATCATGGTGCCGTAGTCGCTGTTGGTGCCCTGCTAGAACAACCCTAAGTGGATAGGTTGACGAATTTCTCCCAGATTTCGCGCCCTGATGAAGTTTGCGGCCTTAGACCAGCATGGCTAGCAATTTGGGTATTCGGGCTCGGATAAGGCGATTTCTCCCGTGCTTCTAGTCGGTTTCTACCCTTGGGAAGTTGACCAAAAGGTCGGGTTCTGCTCTTTTTGTTCTTTGTTACGTTCTTCTGCGAATTTTTACCCCTCTCTTCAAGAGAAGCATCAAGTATGCGTTCATTCTTTCTTCTGCCGTTGTTTGCTATATTGCAGACATGTCAGGCTTTCAGCTCGCCGGATATTTACAAGCTCACGCAGCCTGGAGGTGCGAGTCCAGATTTGGGTGAAGATAGCCAGCCAGCCACTGTACCATCGCAATCAAGGTAAGAAGATCAAACGCATGGTATAGTGTCTCTTTACTAACTTGACATTGATAGACATGCAGCTGGACCGGACTCTGGGCTGAACATCTTCCTACCCAGCTATAAAGCAGACCCCAATTGGTAAATCCCGTCTCACCAGACACGTGCATATACAATAATTAACATCAATTCAGGCTTCCACTGACACTATCTCTCAAAACAGTCGGTTTACAAGTCAAGGTCATCCAGTCGCTCAATATCTCGTCACAATGCCGGAATCTACTTATCTACACCTCTCCCAGCGTGAGCTACAGCCCGAGCTCTGCGGATGTCACGACCTTGACCTCCTTCGTGGCGAAGGGTGGAAAGCTGATCTTCATGAACCAAGTACCCACCGCTCTCCAGGCTCTTGCTGGTGTTTCTGCGTCCATCGTAGACACGAGCGGTGACAGATCCGTCCTGCAGTTGACGAACACTGAGACACCGGTCCAAGCTCTTGAAGGATTCGACTTTACCGAGTACTACGACGTCAACATGCCATTCTTTGAGAACTACACCGAGACTGGTCTGATCAATGTTGGCTATACACCTATCAACGGCTCTCAAACGATCGGCAAATATCTCGTCCGTAACGATGGTGTCGATAGCGCAGATACATCCGCTACAAGCGCAGCGTTCGTCAAGCACCAGCCGTCAGGTGCCAGTGGATACGTATACAGCTTCGGTATGGACCTTGGATACTTGTACATCCAGGCTCAAGCCGAAGCCGGTGGATATTCGCCATGGTACGATGGACACTACTACCCCGGATATGACATTGGAACCCGCGTCATCAAGAACATTGTCACCACCAGTCCTCATTTCGTGAGCCTCTGGTCTGTTCCCTACAACAAAGGACTTGCCTTCACCACTACCTGGGACATCGACACGTACGTCTCGTACCCACACGGTCAGGGTATTGCGGCTGCTGCACAAGATCGAGGTGCCGCAGGCAACTTGAACCTTCATACCAAGTACATCACCGATGCTTATGAGACCGCGTACTTCCAGTATGGCGTCCCCTACATCTACCAGATCAGTGGTTTCCGAACGGCTCCAGATGGAAACCCATTCATCGACTTTGGTAGCCACACTGTCAGTCACTCGCCCAATGCCGCGGGCTTCGACTACGGCACGCTTCAGGAACGGTTCATCGAAGGAACTGATGCCGGTTACTACCCGGTTATCCACCAGTGCGGACCCAATGCTGACGGTACACCCACCAATGGAGAGGTCTGCACCAAGGGAGGTACCAGTGGACTCTCTTTCTACACATCAGGTGCTTCCGCATCGGGAGAGGTCCGCGTGAGCGCTTGGTTGATCCGACACATACTCCACGATGAGTTCAAGACAGGCTACAACATGACCACCTATCGTCCGGGTAACCTTGCGTGGAGTAAATACCAAGCCACGCACTGCGTCGCAAACGGCATCATTGGTGGCTCGTCATGCGCAGGCAACTCCCATCTCACCCACCTTCCTTTCCAGGTCACGCACAACCGCGAGTCATTCCAGGAGCTTCCTTACTACGAGTTCCCACTCCAGTGGTCTGACGGTGACGGCAATATGAGCAGCGCCGACTTCCCAGGCTCAGACTTTGCGAATCAGATCAAGTACATTGAGAAGATGGCACGGTATGGCGGGCACTACAACATCTTGATCCATCCTTCAGACGCCCTGTTCGACAAGATCCAGATCCAGCGCGCGCTCCATGATAGGGTACGTCCTTATGCAGTCTTCTTCAACCAGACAGGTATGGCAAACTGGTGGACCAACAGGGATCGCGCGATTGTAGACATCACAGCAGCGGACAACTCATCTGCGGTGATGACAGTCCGCTTGGACGGCCGCACCGAGGGACTCACCCTGCAGGTCCCACGAAACTACGCTATACAGTCTGCCTCAGGCTCTCTCTCGGTCTGCCAGCAACCCTCCTATGACAAGACGACGAACGCGGTCGTACTGCGAAACACGGCAAAGGGACTCTACACCCTCAACTTTGCCGTCGGGGCCAACAACGCAACCGCCTCTACATGCCCTGACTTTACCCCAAAGCCGATTGGGGATACAGAGTGCATAGCATGGGACGTGATGATTGACGACTTCCTCGAACTCTACTTTGGTAGCAACAACGTCAATCTACTCCTCTTGCAGACGGCTGCGACTGGTCTTTCGTCGAACAACGTCGATGGTACCTTGCAGCTTACCGCGACCACGAACAGCGGCGTCAACTCGTACTACACTGAGATCTCGCGCTTCTGTTTCGACGCCACCGTCTACACCCATCTGTACTTCGACATGGTCGCTCCTCTCGGAAGCACTTTCTACGTGCAGCTCGTTTCGTACGACACTGGGTGCAACTTCGAACAGCCAAGTGCAACGTACTTGGACGTTACCAGATACGCTCCTGCCGACGGCTCAAACCATACTGTCACCATACCATTAGCCGACTTCAAGGGACAAGAGATGAAGCATGTCCGCGGAATACGCATCGGAAACATCTCGCCAGCTCAGACGCCCATCTACATCGACAACCTCAAGATTCAGAAGCGATGTGTAACAGCACCAGGAGAGGACCGTACCCCAGGTCTTGCGATCGAGTCATTCCAGAATGTTGATCGATGGATCACTGGTATCAACAACATCTTTGGTCAAACCGACTACAACAACTCGATGACGTTCGCGAAGCTTTCCGAGTTAGGTAGGATGCAGTTACTGCCGTCGAGCGCAGACTCGTTCTTCTACACGGATACCATGGTCGATGGAGCTACCTTGAATGCTACTGCTTACACTGGTGTCTCTTTGAACGCGCGCGGTCCACCTGGCGGCTCTTTCGATGTAGTATTGAGCTCAGGCGATGGCAAGACTACCACTGTCAACACCAGGTCTTACGCCACTCTAGGCCAGGATAACTTTTCCAACATCACCATTCCCCTCACGGCATTCTCGGGTATCAACACCGACTCCGTCAGTCGCATTACGCTACGCAACTTTACGCCCAACGGTGGTTCATCCGCCAGCAACTTCACGATGCGATGGAT